TGTGTCTGTTTACTACTATACAATCCATGTAGGGGTGTGTGTGTGTGTGTGTGTGTTTTCTACCATACAATCCTTGTAGGGTGTGTGTGTGTGTGTGTGTGTGTGTGTGTGTGTGGTTACTACCATACAATCCTTGTTGGGGGTATGTGTGTATGTGGTTATTACCATACAATCCATGTGTGGAGGGGGTCTGTGTGTGGTTACTACCATACAATGCGTTTGTGTGTGTGTGTGTGTGTGTGTGTGTGTGTGTGTGTGTACTACCATACAATCTATGTAGGGGGTGTGTGTGTGTGTGTGTCTGTCTGTGTGGTTACTACCATACTATCCACCAGGTGCTCGCTTTCAGGGCCACAGGACAGGCCTGTCATGTGCAGAGATGCGGACGCGCCCCAGAGACACTGCGGCTGCAGACCACTGCAGTGGGGCCAGTTCTCTAGGATCAGGTTTCCCAATGTGTGCAGAAGGGCTCTTTGCACTCTCCCATACTCTTAACAAGCGAGCTTTGGTGGCCTCCTGGGTAAGGTGTTATGCCGGCAATCCAAAGGAAGGTGGTTCAAATCCACTAGCTGCTCTGTGCAAGAAGGGTGAGCAGTTTCTTCCCATGCAATTTATAGCTTCTAGAAACAGCACCCAACAACAGGCTGTCATAATCACATTGTGGCAAAACTTGACAAATCACCACTTGGACCAAGTGTGTGTGGGATGGTTGGTTACTGTGTATCGTGTAGTCCAAACCAACTCAGAGTTAACTCTCCAGTGGTTTTTTTTCAGAGGCAGTAAATCACAGAGGAGGCGACTGCCTATCTTTCTACCCTGGAGCACCTGGTGGATTCGAACCATGTGTCTTTGGGTTGGCAGCTCCTTTCTGCTAGGCCACAAGGGCTCCTGAAGTATGGGTTAGCACTGAGAAGTTGGAAATGTTTTGAGAGAGACCAGAGCGAGACCCAGGGTGCAGGTGTGCCCTCGCTGTGGGAAGAGCAGCACTGACGGGCTGGCATGATGCACCTAATCCCCACTGACAACAAACCACCACAAATGCAATTCTGCCAGGGTGTGGCCGTAGTCACACTGCCAGAGTTAGGGCTTCACCAAGGAAAAAGAGACCAGCATTTCTTGGGTGAGGGCAGGAAAGGTGCGGACGACTGGCTTGACAGTAACTGTGCACATGTCTGATGCATGCTCTAGGCCTGGCCTGTAACAGCGCCCGGGGTCCCAAGCCAACCATCTGCAGCACCTATGCTGCTTACGTGGCCTCCTGCCTGCTCCTGCTCCCCAGCTGTCCCGTTGGAGCTGCTGCAGGCCCTGTGGTAAGTGGTCCCTTCTGCTACTCCCTCCACATAGATCAGTGGGGGTGGGGGTGGGACAAACAAAAGGAAGTCACACAGGGCATCTGCTCCCTAAGAACGCCCATCCATCCACTGCAGGCCACAGCGGAGGGCTCCACTCTGACTCCTGAGTCCTGAAATCTTTCTTGAACCCACTGGTTCATACGCAGACGTAACCAAAAAAACATCATTAGAGCAACACCTCAGCAAATGACCTAGCGGCTGCTCTGGACATCTCCCCACCCTCCTTTTGGGGAAGGGGGCTCCGTTCTGTTAGAGTCAACAAGAGTCAGATCTAGGCCACTTAAGCAGAGTAGCCTGTAGATGCAGCGCGAAGCCCTGAGGGCCTTCTCCTGCTGTTTTACTTGCCCAGTGAGGAAACTGAGGCAAGTGTGGCCGCAACTGGACCCCACCACCCACAGGCAGTGGGTGTCTGTGTTTGAGGGATCTCGCTCCTCCTGCAGTGTGGGGCTGAAGGAAGGAGTTAGGAGCTGCCTTGTGGCAGGCTCGGGGCAGTGTCATCTGACTTGATCAACTTGTTACTTGTGATTTTTCTGCCAAGGGACCAAACCTTCATCACCTCGCTTTACACGGTTGTTCAGCAAAATAGCATTCATGCAGGGGTGGGGGTAAGAAAAAGGCCCCTTATCCCTATACCAAGGTTTCAGCTTTCCTCATTAAACCCTCTAATCTAGCTGCCAGAAGGTGGGCTGAGGAGGAGATGAGCTGATCTGGGATCTTAAAGCCAGCCCCTCACCTCCGCCTGGACTCCAGAGCTGCACAGACAGGAAGCTGTGTCTCCAGCACGTGAGTGAGGCCATCATGGCAGGCAGCCTTTACCAACATGGAAAACCAAGTTCCCAGTAAGCCAATGGTGGATGGCCTTGAGAGGGGCCCTGACCTTGGGGCCTCTGCAGCTTTAAACTGGGCTTTCTTCTCCCTCCCCCCACCCCCCCCAGGGATACTCCTCTGGCCCAGGGCAGTGGGCAGCCCTCAGGCCTGCAGGGAAGAGCCCTGAGGTCAAAGGGCAAGCAGTCCATTCAAATGCTAACTTTGCTTCTCTGGGGAGACAAAGGGGGCCTTGGGGAGGGGGCCAGTGGACAGGGGGCCAGTGGGCTAGGTATTTGGAAGTGGCAGCAGAACCCCAGAGCCACAGGCTCAAAGAGGGTGCAGCCTGTTCAGCAAAATCCTCTCAAAGTGTGTTTGGGGGGTGATCTGATGTACCCCATAGTGACTGTGGGTCTCTAAAAGATTACCCTAAAGGGTTGTGGTTTTTTTCCCCTTAGCGGCCCTTGGGAGGGGGACATGAGATGAGGGAGGGCTGGCCAGAGTAATATAATGGGGGAGGGGGAGGGGAGGAGTGGAGATGGGCGGAATAGAGTGGGGGTGGGGAGGAGGATGAGGAAGGGAGGAGGGTGGAGGGTGGGGGAGGGGTGTGCTGTGCAGTAACAGGTTTTCACAATTGGGCTGTAATCTCTACCCAGTGGTAGTTTATGGAAGGTTCTGGAAAGGCAGCAGAGTATGAGTGTTTCTAGATGGCCCCACTCCCCGTGAGATGGGGCCTGGGCTTACCTGCAGATTTCTAAGTGAAAAACAAACTGGGGGGTGCAGGGTGGGGGTGGGCTAGCCACAAAGAGCTTCAAAACCCCCGTGTTTATTTATTTACCCACCAACAAGGTGACATGCTCACTTCTCTGAAGCAAAACACCTAGCTTTACTGGTGAGCCCCTAGGCTCCTGCTGGAAGAGCAGACCCCAGATCTAACCAGAGCCCTGGTTCTCCTAGCCTCTTCCCTGGAGACATTGTACTTGGGCTCACCAGGCGTTAGGGAGAAAACAGCAGTCATGTCACCAGCTTTGTTTACGGGGGTGGGGGGAGGTGGGGGGGAAGGGCGCATTGCAGCCCAGCCAGTGACCCCTCCGGAGAGCCCTTTTGGCGGCAGGGGCATTAACACACTTAGAGGCTCCCACGGAGCATTGCCAGCTCCTAGCAAAGACGAGACAGCATCCACCCTCCCTAGCGAGCCCCACAGCCTCATCTTACTAAGTTCTGGGACGCTGCCGCATTTTTTTTCTGGGGAGGGGTGCAGGAGAGACCATTTTAAAGTTTCTCTTTAAGCCGCATCCTTTTCTTAGACCCTGATTCTTCTTCCATTTCAAGCTCTCGATACCCCTTGCGCGTCCCCCAGATCATGCTCAGCAGAACAGGCAGCTCAAGCCGGCGCGCAAAACAAGATATGGCGCGCGCGCATCAAGAAAAGGCAATTTCCAAATCGGGAAAGGTTCTGCAAATACGTTTTACTTCTCCTTCTTTCCTCCCCGGATTGACGAGCTGTGCACACTTTTGCGTGGAACGCTGGCTACCAGCTAGCTACTGTTTTTGTGCTCGGTCGCAGGGGTACTTTTCTCTCCAAAGTTACCTCCACCCGAGATGAAAATGGCCGGTGTGCACCGCCTTGCCCACCCTCCCCAGGGCTGCCTTAGCTTCGGCCCGTGCCCCCTCCGAACCGGGCGCCCAAGGACGTGCGTCGTTGCATCCAGCACCCCTCCCCTGCGGGTTCCATGCTCTTTGGGGCCGCACAGTAGGTGTCTAGACAGACAGACACAACCCCCTCTCTGGCGCATACCTTGTACCTCGTTTCATCCTCCTGACCACCTCACTGGCCGCTCAGCCCCTCTCCCACCCCTAGGGGCCATGCGCAAACTGTCCGGGACCTCTCCAGCTAAGCTGCACTCAGCCCCGCCACCTCTTCAGCTGCGCCAAAAGGCTAGCAATGCCCCGACGTGGCCAAATCCGCGTTACCAGCCCCGGTAGCCCGTAGGGGTGCCTCTCAATGCCCCCCCATACCTCCTCTCTCTGCTCTCCAAGTAATAGGAGGCTTGTGGGGAGCTGCCGGCGGGTGCAGGGAGGTCGGCTCTAAGGCGCACAAGCAGGTGCGCACGCTCTGTGGAGCTGGCCAGCCGGCCCTGTGAGCGCCAGAAGGCTACCAGGACTGGCGCGCAGCCGCGGGGGGCACAGGCGCCAAGGTTCAGCTGCCGCAAACTGGCAGCGCAGGACCTGGGCTCCAGGCTTCGCGCTGTGCGCGCAACTTGTCCCGGGAGCCAGCAGCCTCGGAGTTCTCACCCAATCCCATTCTGATTACTTTTCTCACATTGCAACAGTGTCGCTACAGCGCTGCTGCTCTATCTTTGTCAAAGTTTGCGCGCGCACTTCCAAACCACGTTTTAGGCACCGGCCAAGGCCAACTCTTTGAGACTGTTCTTGCTAAAAAGGAAAAAGTGCGTTTAACAAGTGACTTACCAGTGTTATTTGGGTGTGCAGCTCGCAACTTGGGGCACGCCCAGGATTCAGTCGCGCGTCCGTGGCCGTGGCACCATCCCAGAGATCTTAGGCTGTCTCCAGCGGGGCTCATGGGGCGCCCGCCGTCCAACAAGCCTCTGGGGCGCCTCTGGGACGCCCTGGGTAAATTTGAGGCATCCCCGCTACCTCACCAAGTCCAGCCTTCCACCCTGGAGCTGCCCAGCCGACCCCACTCTCTTCTTCCCACCTTCCTCCTAACCATACCCCTTCTCCCTCCCGCCCCTCACCATAGCCCTTGGACTCCCCTGTGCAGTAACAGGATATACTAACCTGGGCCAAAGAAAACAAGGAGAACCTGGAACCCGTCCTCCATTAGTGGCGGCGGATGGGGATGGGCCCCTTCTTGGAAGGGGACTCCGGCGACGGGTCGCGGCGGACGGACTTTCTGGGCTTGCAGCGGCGCTGCCTCCTCTTCTCCTTGGCCTCCTCGGGGTCTCGAGGATCCTTCTCTTGAGGCTTGGGCTCCTCCCCCTTGGTGGGGCTGGGGGGCTCCTGGGCGCTGGGCTGCGAGCGACTCGGGGAGGCGTCGGGGCTCCGCAACCTGAGAGCACGCAGACGCTCAGTGAGAGACTGGCCGAAGGTGGGGCGCTTGGGCAGCGCGGGGCCGCGCTCGTCCTCCGGCTCGGTCTCAGGCTCAGTAGTGGGGGCGGTCTCGGGCTCGGTCTCCAAGTCGGACTCGGTCTCGGTCTCGGTCTCGGTCTCGTAGTCGAACTCGGCCTCGTACTCTATGCACTCGGGGATGGACAGGTCGAGCTCGGCCTCCTCGTGGTCAGACTCAGGGGACTCAGGGGACTCGGGCTCGGGGAACACCTGGGCGGCGGGGCGGTGGTGGGCGTTGTAGCTCCGGTGCTGGTTGGCGGCGCGCTGCTGGGCGCGGGCGTTGGAGGTGGCGAGGGCGCGGAGCAGCGCGATGGAGCAGGAGAGCCAGAGGAGCGCGGTGGCCGCTCGGCGGCCGATGGGTGGGCAGAGGTCGTTGTAATTATGACGAGCTCGGCGCCACTGCTGAGCCCGGGACCTCCGATCCATCCTCAAGTGCACGCCGAGAAGCCGACCCGCTCCCTGGCTCTGCAGAGAGCGGCTCCGACGCACCGAAGACAGGTGCACCTTTCGAGATGAGAGGCTGGGGCCGAGGTCCCAGCTCTCAGCTCGAAGGCAAAAGGAAGCGCCTTCCTCCGTCCAGTTAAGAACTTTGTGAAGCTTTGCTCCTCAACCTTGCCCGGCACCTTAAGAAGAAACGGGGCGGCGGAGGAGAAGGCTGTGCTCTGGGGTTCCTCCCACTAAGTCTCAGACCCTGCAGTCTGAGACCAGAGAGAGGGGCCTCCGCTGTCCTCTCGCCAGGGAGAGGAAAGAGGAGACTGAGGCGAGGAGGGCCAGGCTCCGCAAAGTTGCGCGCCCAGACTTCTGCCGGGCATGTGCAGAAGGGAGGCGGGCCCTGCGCGCGCTGTGTGGTGGCGTCGGGCCGGTGGCGCAGACCCGAGCGGGCCGGCAGGTGGCAGGAGGGAACCTTGTTTGAAAGGATTGGGGCGAACGAGGGGCGGGGGGGCCCCCGGCGCGCGCTGCTCAGAGAGCCGCGAGCTAGCTACAGGTTAGATCCAACATGCATCTCTCCTCGCGGGTCCGAGTGGGCTGCGCCCCCCGCCTCACCTTCTCCGGGGTGAGCAAGAAAATAAGCAAAGGCTAGAGCCACCCCAAACCAGACCGCCAGGAAATTGCAGATTCTCGGGGGAAAAGAAAGGAGCCAGCATCCTCCTCATAGGACTGAATAGCGTGGGGTGGCCAGCTCCTGCTGCCGGTCCTCGGGAGCCCACCTGGCCGAGAGGCGTTCTCTCCACTGGAGAGAGTCGGTTTGTTCCGAGACCCTACAGGACAGAGCAGAACTACTCCTTCGGGTTTCCAAGGCTGGAGTCTTTATGGGCAGAGCCTGCTGCAGCTCCCAAGGAAACAGCTGGTGGGTTCGAACTTCCAACCTTTCAGTTAACAAGCCGAGCACTTAACTATTGTACCAAGACACCTGAATCTGCTCTGCTGATTTTAACTGGAGAAGTTAATTAAAAACAACAACAAACGCCACTTTCCCCCACCCCTCACCTCAATTTCAATCGGTTTAAGTCCTTCTTGCACACGTAAGCACCTTTTCCGGCATGAGTTCAGACTTGGCTGGTGATGACATTGCCGGGTAGACCATCATGACCACTCACAAGAACGTGTTGAAGACAGACCTCTCGGTGGACCACGCCTTCCCCTCCCTCCAGCCAATACTCAGTGCTTACAGGCAGCTCTCTGCACCTTTGGGGTCCCAAGTGACCGCTCATCAAGGAAACTTCATCGGGTGCCCCTTGAAGTTATTAGTTCGTCTTCAGAGTCAGTCCATTGAATACATGTATGCGGCGCCTACCGCAGACCAAGCTGTGTTGTGAATACTGAAGGGAGAGTGGGGAGGCACTGCACTAAGAGGCCGCTCAGGGCCCATGTGCTCTTCATCAAAACATCAAGCCCACCTTTCTCCCAGCATGATTTAGCTCACCTGCAGTTCCCCACGAGAAAGCAGTTGGGTCAATCAGAGCAGGAGGGCTGGGGAGGGCCAGATACCACACTGGGTCGTGTTGGCCCTGAAGACTGGTGCTGGAGTAGATGAGCAGGGTGAAAGGCTCGCTGGCCGGCCGGAGGGGGAGCCCTGGAGTGGTTCCTGTGCAGGAGGGGAAGACCTTGAGAAGCTCTTGGGTTGCACCCATACTCTTGGGTTGTGCCTTCTTTAATCTGTACCTGTTAAGTTATGAATACCCACTCTGCCATCATGGCAAGTCCACAGATGTTACAGGCCAGTGAGGACCCACCATCCTGAACACTGGGGACACCAGCAAGGTGGTTGGTTGACCAGGGACCCACCTGGGTTGGGTTCTTGCTTCTCCTTGAATCAGCATGGAGACATTTCATGAAGCAGCTCTTCCTTCTACAGTGCTTTGCTCTCTTGGGAGTGTCGTTGCCCGCTGGGCCCGGTTCTTGGTGGCTGAATAGACACCTACCCGGTGTTCAGCACAGAGGAGCAGGTGCCCCAGCTCTGATCACCACCACAACGAATGTGAGTGCAGAGAAGACCTCCTTAAGAGTCTAAGGGGTGGTGTGGCTGTGAGGTGCTGGGCCCTCGCTTCTGCATGTTACCTGTATATATATACACCCTCTGCTGTTCCTAATCTGACTCTTTGGCCATGTGCATCTTGCTTCTGGTGTCTTACACGTTAGTCTAACGCATGAAGCTGCTGAGGAAGCTGGTAAATCCAGCACAGTGGTTTGAGAAACTGCACAGGAGGACACGCTTTTCTGCTTTGCTTGCGTTATGCTCTTAGCCTGAGGAGCTGAAAGTGCTTTGTTGTCCTAGGCTCTCAGAGGCGCCAGTGTGGATGTTGTTAGAAGACCCCGAACCAGGGGGCCAGAGGCGGTTGCTTTACCTCTCAGGTCCAGCCGAGGGGAGATGTTCCTAATGGTTCTGTTCACACTGCCTGCCTGCTTTCTGCTCTTCCATGAACCAGTCCCTCTGAAAATGTGTGGAATGTGAGGACGTCTGTTAAGTAGATGTCAGGGCCCATTGGGGAGAACATCTGGGAGGATGTGGGTGCTGACGGTGCACTTTCGCTGGAGGCTCACGCCAGCTGTCAGCTAGATGGCCTTGTGCTGCCTGTGTGCGTGAGGGTGTGCACCCCACTCTGCATGAAGAGCTTACGCCTGTGAAGGAGATGGCAGCACCGAGCCGGCCCGCTAACACAGATACACCAAGATTGTCTGCATTATTAAAAAATGTGCATTACATAATGCGTAGTTTTTGGATGAGATTCCGCATTGGTAATGCACTTTCTTTGTAAGATGCATTTTAATCAGCAAAGGGACATCTCAAAAAAAAAAAAAAAAAGAAAAGAAAAAATTAAAGAAAGAAAAACAAAACAAAAAACCTACCATCAAAATGAACTGCATTTGAGAGCCCCCTGTCCTGTCCAGTTCCAGGTACCCTTGGGTAGGGGTTCAGTCCCTGCTTCAGGACTGATGAGCGGAGTTGAGTGAAATGCTGTTGTAGTTCACGCTTAGTCCTGAGGCTGAGCAAATGGTTCTGAGCAGAAGACACTCTTAAATGCATAACATGCATGGCTTTAAAAGGTGCTCACTGCACAGTGAATTTAAAAAAGAGGCAGGTGGGTGAAGAACGGCCTGGTGGTTCTGCCTTAGACCTGCGGTTCTGCCTGTCTGTGGTGAAGAATCACCCACAGAGGCTCAGCTGAGTGGGGCCTTGAAACCTGTTGGTCGAAAAAGCTTCCTTTCCAGTGCATCAGAGAATCATTTGATAACGTTTTATTCAGGGTTGGAGGGTGCCTTTAAGGATCTTTAGAACTTCAAAGGATTGAGGGGCTAAGATTTATGTGGGGTCACACCCCCCCTCCACCCCCAGGGCAGTGAGACCCTAAAGGAGAAGCACCAGCAGCAAGTTTCTGCCCCCGGCCCCAGAAAGACTAATGAGACCATCAGGACCAAAGGGCAGTGGGTTGGCAGGAGGTTGTTGGCCGGTCATCAGGAGTGGTGTTAAACCTAAGGGCAAATAAGCACATAATGGAGACATTTTCTGTGGCACTCCTGCGCCAGGTCAAGTTGGAGGCTGATGCCTGGCCAGAGTTCTTTCCCACATGAGCAGCATCTGGTGGACGGACGTGGGAGAGGTCTTGAGGCTCAAGTGATGGGACATTATCTTCTGACTATTTTGAGGCTTTTGAAAGTGCAAGTGGCTTCAGTGACAGGAAGGAATGTTGGGGTGGCAGTTTGCAGACACAGGCAGACAGGTGGGTGAGGCTGGCCTGGCCACCCCTGGCTCTCCCGTACCAGGGCAGGGCTCGCATCAAGGCTCTTTGCTCTGCAGCTCACTTGTTGCAGCAAAGGAACGAGTCAGTCCATCTATTAATCCCATTGATTCTCTGTGCCTTCCCTCCTGGGGCGTTCTCGGAAATTAAAAATGAAATTGGCTACTTAGCGAGCACGCTCTGAGTCGCTGGTGTGTCCAGGAAACTGTTGGGGCCTTGCAGGGAGAGCAGGGACATTGAGGGCAAACAGCGCGTACCCTCTGCCAGTGTAGTTCTCCGTGAGCGGTGCCCCCAGATGTTCCAGGGCCGACTGGCAGCGAGTGTGAAGCCAGAGGCCCGTGCAGGGGTCTGGAGCAGGGGACAGCCATGGGTCAGTGACGGCTGATCTGGTGGTTCTGCTTTCTTGAAAGAGGTGGGTTTTCAGAAGACTGCAGGAGGGCACTTGTTGGTCCCTCAGCCCCTGGTGTGTGTGCCAGGTTCGATGCTGGGTGCTCTTGGGGGAGAGGAGATAAAGATGAGTAACTTGATGTCTCAGAAGGCTTGAGGGCTGTTGTCATGGGCCTTCAAGACACCAACGCAATTTTCCAAGATGAGGCCTGAGAGAAAAGACGGGCTCTGTTCTGCTGGCGAGAGTGGGTATAATGGCTCTTGAGCATGGTTTCTTTTCTTTTCTTTTTTTTTGACAATCATTGGAAAAGAGTCTTTTGGGCACTGGAAACTTCCCTTTAGGTGGAAATTAATCCAGCCGCGTGGGTGTGCCCCCATCTCTCGGCGTGGCAGTCTGCTGGGCACGGTCCCTGCCGGCTCCCTCCTCTGCAAGGCCTTGGTCCAGGAGGAAGTGTTTGGCCCCACTCTCCAGGGTGCTGTTTTGCAGTTAAACTGGTCAGAGGCGTCAAGAAAGCATGGGCCTCGGGGACTTGGTGATTCCGGGGGCTGCCACCTAGCACTGTGAGCAAGGGGGTGGGGAACAAGCAGACAAGCTGAGAGATGACACTGTTGGCGTAGGTCACTGGGGGGGGGCACGCAGGGATTTGCCCTTTTTTTAACCTTCTTTAATGCACGTAGCCTGCAGAGCTGTCCAGCCCCTCTGGCACCTGTGGCCCATCCATGCCAGGAGGAAAGGAGCAGGTCTAGGCTCCTGGCCCTCCAGGCACTCCCCGGAAGCCCTGTCCCCAAGCCCCAAGGGGG